GTGCTCTCTCTTTCCCCTTCACTTTAAATGTCTCTGCCCTTCCTCAGAGTGACTCGTCTACATTTTATCCATTGATTCCTCACACAGCTCTAATTCCTTCACGGAGCTTCGCTGGTTCCCCTAAATTTATTTTAATGATTCTCCTGCAGCGTTCCTCCTATAATATTTGACCACACAGCAGACAATGGCAAGGACATTTGTGTCTGATATCTTGCCATTTCTTTATCTTTCTTGGCTCGTCTTCTCAACCCTAGGACAGGTTTCTCCCCATCTGTGTGTCAGGGGCTTACCTTACATCCTCTGTCTTCTCTATACTATAGCTTATTATATTAGATCTCCACGCTCTCTCGATGTTAGGGGAATTATTGAAAAGTAAAAAAAGTGCTTTACTTTTTCTATATAGTCTGCCTTCTAAAACCGTGGTCTTCAAATAAATCTGGCTTGAAATTGAAAAAAGAGCAGTGATTTTTGGTTTTTGGTTTTTTTTTTTTAGCACAGTGATTCGTTCTCACTTGGGTTTTTCTCTGCCTCCACAAAACAATGAATGGGTGAGTGGGGAAGTCTTGGGACAGGTAGGGATTACATATTATCAGAAATGAAAATATGCTGGATTCATATTTCAAAATTATTCCCACTATATCATGAAGAGATTATTACTGACTTTGGTAGGAGTGGATTCAGAAGCTAGATAGAGTTTATTGCACAGTGATTGAGAAGTAGTGAACTGTATGCTTATCCCTTCTAGAATCTAGAATCTTGCTGTGAAAAGAAAGGTGAAATAGGGCTGTAGCTAGTAGGGAGTACAGGATTCAGAAAAATTTGTATTAGGTTGTTTTCTTTTTAAGATGGAAGAGATTAGACTCCTATAAGAGCTAGTAGAAATAGGAGTTGAAGACAGGAAAAAGTGTTTGAATGAAAGACTGAAGATCCAGAAAAGGCGAGAAGAGGTTGTTGCAGACCAGAGAAGTTTTTTTAAAACTCAAGGCTCAGTCAATGCTTTCTAGGCATGAAAGCCCATTGAATAGTTAAATACTTAGTTTTATTAGAACAGTGTTTCTCAAATATAGACATCAGAATCAGCAGGGATATTTATTAAAAATTTGGGTTCTCAGGCCTTACAATCCAAGCCAAGATTATAAGTCAGTTGGTCTGGGACAGGGCCCAGGACTCAGCATGTTAATGAATAACCCATGAAATTCTCATGATGAAGAAAGTTTGGGAAACACTGTCAGGACACTGCTAAATG